GGATTCCCAGCTTCGGGGGACTTTCTTGTGACTGTGTGCAGCACTGGGCCTTGCGCAAGCTCGGCGAATTTGTCCACGGACTATTTTTTTAATCTTTAAAGCAGAAATCTGAACGGCACACAGGGTGCTGGTGTAGGCGCCCCAAGCCCTTAGTCTGGTTCTCTCACCCTTCTTTGATTCAGAGAGTCTTGGAGGGGTGCCATCGCTGGCGACGGGCGGGCGAAGGCAGTGCTCGACGCCGCGGAGGGGAAGGCAGCCTTCTCGGGTGAGTTCCCTTGGGCAGAGTTCTGTCCTTAAGAGTCGGGACCTCTCACAGCCCAGGGGATGGGACTGGCATACAGGTGAGGAAGGCCCAGAGTGCCGGGCGGGGAGCGGGTGACAGGTGTGGGCTGCAGATGGTCGCCTAGCGCTCCCAGTGGCCCAGGCAGAATGGCAGGCTGAACCTCTGTGGTCAGTGGGAACAGCAGAGCTGAGCTGCTCCAGGGAGGCACCGCCAGCAGCGGGGAAGGGTGGCGGGGGCTGCTGTACGCAGGGCTGTGGGTGCCGGCAGTGCTGCCTGCCCAGAGAGTCCTAGGGCTGGAGGCACTGGGGAATCCAGTCTGCCCGGCCAGGCCTTGCCAAGAGGGCAGGCGAGGAAGAAATATTACATAACAAGTCCGGCTCCTGCACTTACAGATCGGCCCGCTGCTACAGCCCGGAAGCTGCTTTCACTCCAGGCGTGGACCTAACCACACGGATGCCATGAGGCATTCCTACTCTCCCTTCAGAATTTTTATGCCCACAATCTTCCCTGGAAAAGACATTTGGAAAGGAAGAGCTACAGCATGAGGGAAGTCCTGCTTAAAGTCTAGCTAAGTCCTCTGATGGAGGTGGATAAGCATAACGAACTCTCCTGGCTCCAGTCTGTGACTCATGCCTTCAGTGTGAGGTGATAGGAGCAGCAGGGTCTCCTCCCTGCCTGGCTGGCTGTGTGGCCGTCACCCTGCCACCTCTCCGGGCGCTTTCTCAGAGGACAGCTCCACCCAGCAGCGCCAACCCTTCCCCGAGGTCACTTTCCATGTGCTAAGCTGTGGAAGATTTCCCAAAGGGCTCACTAAATATGCTTTTCAAACTGCTCATTTATCACCCTTGTGCTAGCAAGCCAAGCAAAGAGATTGCTTCCATCCCGGAGCCTCGAGCCTCCCAGTCGCCACCAGCCGTGCATCCTTAATCTCGTCTGATGCCGTGCAGTCTGGTCTGCAAAAATTTCCACACTTCTTGTTTCCAGAGGAAGAAATATTACATAACAAGTCTGGCTCCTGCACTTACAGATCAGCCTGCTGCTATGGCCCAGAAGCTGCTTTCACTCCAGGTGTGGGCCCCAAGATGTGAGCCCCAAGATGTGGGCCCCGAGACCCAAGGTGACCACTGTGGCAGCTGCCCAATGTGCTGGTCCCCAGAGGAAAGGACAAATAAGGAAATTAAAGATTTTGTAACCAAATGAGATTATGATATTCTAGGTGAGCAGAGAAAAAACCTCACAGAAATGGCAGCCACCCACAGGAGGCAGGCATTCGCGAGAACGTGGCCAGGTACTCTGTGTGCATCCGTAGCTCAGGCAGAGATTCATCTGAAGAGGATAGGAGATGAAGGAGGCCATGGAATGGAGAAATCCCCTAGGTGACGTGTTCTGAGCCCAAGCTTCTGCACCGTGGGCCTCTCCTGACGCAGGCAGCGGGGCAGATGCCTGTGGGCACCGTTTATCTCGCACACACTTCCTCACTTATTCCTATTTAATCTGGCCAAGCCCAGCAGCCTCTTCTAGGCGTGGTCCTTAGTGGATGTTTTGGAAAGACTCTGGGAGTTCATCAGGATCTGCCGCCACCCTGACACAGGCGGGCAGAAGGCGGGCAGGCAGGGCAAGGATGGCGCAACACTTCCTCCCTCTCTGGAGGAGCCTGTGCCACAGGCAGGACTCACGCCCACGTGAGCTGGAGGTCGCCTGCTCCGAGGAGTGAGGCCCCCCTTGGCCCCGTGCAGGGCATGGGAAGAGGCGCCTTTTGCAAGCGCCTGGTGCTGCCCATGCTTGTCTTCAGTGACTTGGGGGGCCTCAACCCCTGGTGATCTCAGTCGCAGCCAGCTCCGTGGCCCCCCAAGGGGGATTACTCACTGCGCTCTGGCTCGTGATCCTCAGAGCAGATTTCCTTTTGGGAGCAATATTTACTTTTGAAATGAAAAAGGCGCCGAGGGATTTGCCGCTTGCTGCTGTACTAGATTAGTGTTTGCAGGCTGATCTGGTCGCTTGTTTCCTCTGCAGACAGCAGGCTCCACAGCACCTGTCGTCGGGTGGTGGCCGGGGCCAGCCGGGCATGCCCCAAAGCAAGGAGATGCCTAAAGCAGAGACCAGCCAGAGTTCCCGGGCCAGCCCACCTGTGTGTGTGTGTGTGTGTGTGTGTGTGTGTGTGTGTGAGCGTGTTCATTTGGGAACACACTGTGCCCTCTTGTTTCAATGTTGTCCTCCCTGTCTGTACTTGCACTACCACAGCAGAGAAAGCCGTGACAGAGCCACAGATCTGCAGAGCCTGACAGGAGCCATTTGCCCCGTGCTCCTTTATAGAAAACGTTTCCAGGCCCTGCTCTAACATAGTCCGTTGGCCATACGTTACGTTCTTAGGTGTAGCACAGGAGCATGCAGTACAGCCCTGGAGTCCATGTGTGTCTTAAAACAAACATTCCAAGAGTCTACCAGCATCTTTGGAACTAAACTCAAATATCAGCAATTAGTAATTAACTGGCAATTCATTGCCTTGACTTGGAAAGTAACTGAAATCACCAGCAGACGCATATTCATGGATCCTGGCTATTTACCTCCCTGCAATTATTCATGCTGGAGTGGTTTAACACTACAAGAATATGTTAAGTAATTAATTAACCAGCCTGTTTATGCATTCATTTTTTATCTCAACAAATACTTGGTGAACATCAGGCCCTGTGCCAGCCCTGGAGAAGACAGGCAAAACTATGGAGTGCTTGGGCCAGGGAGGAGAGGCACCTGTCTGCATGCCACATGTGACCGAGGTCACCCTGAGATGTGGACCCCAAGAAGGCTGCCCACTGGGCTGCGGGTGTCAGAGTGGAGGCGTCAGGGAAGCTTTCTCAGACACATTTACTTTGTTTTGTTGCTACTCATTCGTTAAGAGGTTGAACAGGATACCTTCTATCAGCACTTATCTTCACCTCTGTCCCCAAGGAAGCATGATATCATGAAAAAGCAGGTGTCCCAGAGACACCTGGAAAGAAGCTGTACTGACCAGTGCCTGGAGAGCCACCGGCCTGCCGCCACCTGCCTCGGGTTCTGGACCCCTGCCACAGCGCCTGCGCACACGTGTGCACCACCGCCCCCGCCTCTGCGCTGGGTGCTGACCTTCCTTTCTGTTGTGTGCTCTTTCACACAACAGGGGTCAGAGTTCTCCAGCATCTGGCAGGCCTCCAGGTGGAGATGCGAGGACCTAAATCCTCAGGCCTAGTGCTGACCCCCAGGGACAAGGAGAGAGGTGGCAGAAAGAGGCTGTGACAGCTGAGCGACTGATGATGCCCTTCTGATGAGCACCAAAAGTGGGACAAGGACTGCTCTACAAGGTCCTGTTTCCCCAGGGAATGTCCAGGCTGGGCACCAGCTGTGGAAGGGTCAGGAGGGTGGGAGGGCTCTCTGGGGGCATGATGGCCCATCTGCAGCACGAGCTGCTGGCACTGGGAGCCCCTTCACCCAAGGGCGTCCAGAGGGCTTGGCACCTAGCCGTTAAGACTCGTCGCTCAGGCACCAGCGCTCAGGCCTTCTCCAGTTGCCTGTCACTTTGCATGCGCTTCCAAAGTTAACATGTTGGGGAAAGACAGCTTTCATCCAAGTCAGCTGCCTGCTCGCCCCTTCTCTGCTGCATTCTGGTTTTGATTCATGAAATAGGGTACTGAAAACTCTGATGAGCATGTTTGTAGCATTAGGAATGCTTTAGTAATAACTGAAGTATTTTCGTGGCTCCTGCCCTCCTATTCCTTCGAACCAGTTTGAGACAATGCAGGGTCTCACACGCAACCAAGAAAATATAATTGCATGGGGGGCGGCAGGGAACAAGATTATTTCCTTTCTTAAGACCATAGGCAGCCTCTCAATGGATTCTAGGCAAACTTTTAAGTATGCCCACTTCCAGAGCCACTCAGGGAGGAGAGCTTTGAAAGGGAGATTTGGTCCATCTGCTTAAGATGCAAAATAAATTGGTGACTGGAACGCAGCAGTCAAATCGCCTGGTCTGGGAACCAGAGACTGTCCATAGGGGTGAAACCATCTCATGACACAAAGCCACGCAGGGCTGAGAGACGTCACCGATTCTCAGATAAAGGTAAGGCCAGAGGTCACACCTTCCAGACCCCGCGTGTCCTCCCTCACAGGCATACTGGGCTGTGAGCCTTTGCGCTGACCAGGCCACCGGTGGTCAGCCAGCGAGAAGGTGTCGGGAGCTGGACTCTTGTCCCAGGACTGCCTTTGAGCCTCTTGTCCCTGTATGTCCTTGCCATTCTTGTTACTGGGTTTGGGGACATCCCAGTTTTGTAATTTGAACACTTCTACGTTGTCATGGGGCCCTCTGCCGAGGGCACGTGAGTCCCAGAGCGGCAGTTGGAGACCTCCCAATCCTGATCACCCCACCCTACAGCCTTGAGATGGGCTGCACCCAGCACGCACAAAGCAAACCTGGACCACACACGCCCAGGTACAGGGGGCACCACCTAAGGGTAACAGACCCGGGAACTCCCGCACATGCCGTTCCAGTTCTGGGACAGCTCTCTATGCAGGGAGAAACAGCCACTTTACATATGTAGGTTTCCTGGCGCATGGATCCAAAGCTTCATTTACACACACACGCATACACACACACACTCCACATGCAGGCTGACCCCAGCGAGATGCACTCAGTCAGACTAGAAAGCACAAACTTCGAGAAAATGCAAAAGTGTCACGATGTGCTTACCAGTTGCTGGCCCTTGGGGCCCCACCCTGCGTACTGAAGCTTCGCATTGCTGACTTCTGGGGGGTCCAGACTCTGAGGGTCCCTGAAACAACAAGTGAGAACAAAAGTGAAATGTTGGGAACCACAGATTGCGGGAGTGTCATTGGGAACCAGGGATTGCGGGGTGTCATTGGGAACCAGGGATTGCGGGGCATCATTGGGAACCAGGGATTGCGGGGTATCATTTTCTCCACTGGCTGCACCTCGCTCCTCTCTCCTCCCCTTCCATCAATCTCAGCAGCTGCCTCTTGTGTCCCTAAATAAGGCCTTTTTCACTCTCTAGTAGGTTCCTCCAAGCGTGCGTAATTTATGTGAGCTGAACTGGCCCTCCAGTGCTTAGCTCTATGGTAAATATTCGTGGAGAGGAAGCATGTGGAACAGTCTACAGATCATTTTTTAAACTATCAGGGCAGTCAAAATTAAAAATAAAAATGCACAGCCATGCAGCAATAAATTCCACGTGCATCTCTTCATCTCCAGCAGAAGTTCTTTCTACTAAGACTAATGCCAGGCCATTCTGAGCTTGTAAGGCCCAAGATAGAGCAGACTGATCCTTTGGTTTCTGCTGATTGGTACAATGAGAGAGAGAGAGAGAGAGAGAGAGAGAGAGAGAGAGAGAGAGAGAGAGA